TTTGCCGTGAATCTCTTCAACAACCTTTAACCATTCCGGTTCAAAGTCCTCACAGCTCCTCACAGCCAGTACGTCACAAACCTTCGATGGTTGCTCCAAAACGATACAAGTCCGAAATGTTGTCTTCGTCTCCGGTGACGCTGTCAAAGATGCGCTTGATCTCGAAAAGCCGAAACGCAACCGTTGAATCAAACGGCACCCATTTCGGCGGGACTGTGAAGTCCTCCGGCGTCGTCCGAGCATCTTCAGTGCCCTTTAGAACCGGTACAGGGCCGATAAAGGCCAAAAAAGCTGCAGTGAAGATGCTGAAGAAAATACTGGAAATATTGAGTTCAACTGCGATAGAACCCACACCAGTAGGGTGCAAAATCTATAGAACACACAGTCAGGAGAAGAAGTTTTTAAGAACTGCATCATGGGTTCTTGAGGCCATCGTAGGCGATCTTGAGGTACTTGACCTTATTGTAAGGTACGTCAATGGTGGCCTCTGCATTCTCAGGCAGGTTTTCGACATGGGGTAATGGAAGCTTTACGAAATCTATGAAAGGTGATAAATTTGGAGGCAGTTTTGGAAGACGATCAACGTTCTAGGAGTGAAACAGAAGAGATTTTGTGACCCTTTTGGGCTATGAGCTTAGTGAGTTCCAAGAATGGAATCATGTGACCAAAGGCAAGCCATGGGAACATAACTATGTGTAGCTTGAGATTTTCAGCCATGGATGATGAACTATGCACTTCTTGGTTTCCTCACTCTTCTGGTAACTTTTTGGTCGTATGTATGATCTCTGTCTTTCCTTTTTGGGGAAGATGCATTGAAGGTATAAAAAAAGATTAAATTCTGTACCGACAATTCTGTATATAATTGTTTACGACACCCGACAGCCATTAAAATTGCGGACCACACACACAAATAAATTATGAGTAAGGGATATGAATTTAAAAGTTAGATTTGATAATTTTAACTATTGAATAGGTAGTGAGTCCCAATAAATATTGAAATTTACATTGAAATTAATAGTTCAGATTATCAAATCTATTTTTTAAGTCTATTTTTTAAGTTCATGTAGCATTATTCATAAATTAATGACACAATACATTGTGACTAATAGATTGATACTAAAATGTATTTAATGGATTGCAGCATTAAATATGTTTTAGTGTCAATTCATTAGTTATAATTTATTATGTCATTAAATTATGTTTCAATAACATAACTCATAAAAAAAGTATAACAGTTACAATAAAAAAATCGATTATATCAATAAATTATATCAATATTTTAGTTTGAATAAGGTCGGTTAAACTAGTTTTATACATTGACTTCAGACATTGAACCATTTGTTTTTTTGTCAAGTTTTGAGACTTAGTTTTTACATCATCGTTACAATAGGCCCTTTAGCTAACGTCAAGTTTCATGTGCCTTTCACACACGTAGGTCTGTTAAAATATGACACGATACGATTAATCGATATGAATTAAACGGATTTGGGTGAAGTCTTAACGGGTTCGGGTGATAAACGAGTTAACTCATTAGACACGTTTAATAAACGGATCGTATTCGGGTGAGTCCTGTCAACGTATTTATCACCCGTTTAAATAAAATAAATATAATAATAAATTAATAATTATTTTTAAAAATTAGGCAGATTTTTTTTTTTGTGACAGCCACAGAAAAAATATATATATATATATATATATATTATTTTTAGTGATAGTCACAGATTTTTTTTTTAATTTAGTGACAACAACAAAAATATAATAATAAAATAATTATAAATTAAAATTAAGCGAGTTAAACGAGCCGTGTCGTAGTACCTGTTTATTAAACGGTTCGTATTCGTGTTGAGATTTTTTATCCGTTTATTAAACGAGTCGTGTATGAGTTTACATGTTTTTCACCAGTCACTCGTTTAACCTGACACGTTTGACACCCTTACACACATGGACTCCTCGGGCAGAAACATATAATGCGAAAGACTAATGTTATTCAAACTTAAAAACTAAATTTAATTTGTTGATATAATGATATGTCAATTGATATAGTCCCAACAAAACAAATCTCACATTTATAATCACAATAATACTACTAGATCATTCCTCTGTCACATTACACAATATTAATTTTTTAAATTTCAATAACATTACACAATATAAAATATAATTATTAAGCTCAAGATATATTTTTTGAAAGTCGAATTACATTTATTTGAGATTATTCTTTACTGGTTGTAAATATTTTATTTGTATGCTAATAGTAACAGAAGAGAAGACTCAAGGTCTTTGCCCACTACATCTCCCCAACACAAGACTGCACCTCTCTGACACCGTCTCCCCTATGAAAAATAGTTTTTTTCCGTATGGAAAAATATTTATCATAGATAATTTTATTATATTTGTGCATATTTTTACCACTGTTATATCAAAAAAAGTGATAAAAATAATTATTACAACAATAGTAAAAAAACTCATAAAAGTGATAATTTTTTTTGTATAATAAAAATAATTACATTTTTTTTGGCTATTCTAAATTCTGTATCAACACTAAGCAAAACAATATGAGTTCCCAAAAAGGTGTGCATATCCAGGTGCAAGAACAACTAAATAATAAACTAGGACAAATTTCAGTGGCACCCAGTTAAATTGATGTAAATACAAGGATAACCCTTTATTTTTCAAAACATTATTCACCCCTCCAGGCCAGTCCAAAAGTATCGAAAAAATGTATATTTGGCCGTGGGTAATTTTTTTAGAACTTATGTAGTTCTAAGTATCACCATTAAGTCATATTTTTCATCAAATTATTGTCATTAAGTATGCATTTTAAATTCTTTTCTTGTATTACCTAATTATCCATGCCATAAATATTACCGATCATTGTTAGTTTCAATGTTTTCAAAATAACAATTCATAACTTGAAAATTGTGCTAGCATTAAAATTATTTTTGTATCACACACACACATATATAGTAACATCAAACAATAACATACTCAACAAAAAAATAGTAACATCAAAAAAATAATCGTCTTCTTTAGCAAACGTCACATGTTAGTTTTCTTCCATGTGCACACACACTCACACAAACACACTATGTGCACACACACACACATAGACAAATATTTTTCAATTTGTTGTTAATGAACTAATTTACTCTATATTTTCAATATTTTTTGATTATTTACTAGTTATTGTTCACTTATTGTGTTATTCAATTTGTTATTATTCTATTGGATAAAAACATATTTTATAAATATTTTTAAAGTAAAGAGTGGAAGGGTAAAATTAAAAATTAATTTATTTTCAAACGTCAGTTCTATGTAGTTATCAAATAATTTTGTTCAATTCAGTACTTAAATTTCAGTGAACACCAACAGTTTACGAATTCTACATTCAATTTTCAGCATTCAGACTTCAACTTTTATTTTTATCAAACACTACCTTAGTTCAATGTTTAAAAGCAAGTACTTGATTGCCCACTTTGTGAAAGAGAAAGATAGATGCAGAGGTCGGAAAGAGAGCAAATGAAAATATTTACAATTTAACAGACAATTGATTACCCTAATGCCGTATGAAGTACACGTATTTTTCTGCAATTTCTTATGGTGTCAATTAGTAGTGCACAATGTCGTAAATTTATTCATGTAAAGATTAGATGAGTTGAATTGAGTAGATTACTTGTCAAATTTTTGCACTGCCATGATGGGAATATGAACATAAGAAGATTCAATCTAACTCCATCCATTTCTGTTGAACGAGAAAATGTTCAATTTAACGTTGACATCACAACCTTACCGTGATATCACTAATTAATTTGACAAACACATAGGATTAGTGAGTTCTGCATAATTTTGTAACTATCAGTCACTCTACATGTAAAATTATAATAATGACATGACACGAATAACATGACATGCTCAAGATATGTATAAGTGCCTAATTGTCAAGTATATAATCACAAGATATATAATAAGTGTCTAATTTTATTTTTTTGAGTTCTAATCACACAAACATCATCCTAATTAGTACTAGGCATGCAACAGTCAAAAATCATAAACTATTCATACAAATCAAACTAGCAGCTAGAACTCATGCCAAAGAAGAGTAAAAATCTAAATTATTTCAAGAAGTAAAATTATGATTGCAAGAAGAAGAATATATGCCCAAGTCTTTTGCGTTAAAATCAGATGGATCACAAAAGAAAAAAAAAACGCTGTAATTAAAATTAGGGCATCAATGTGTGTGTGTATATATATATATATAGCATTAGTTTATTGTTTATGTACAAATGTGTGTGTGAGAGAGAGACCCATACCTTTTGACCACTTGCAAATTCTAACCTTGGAGAATGGCGGTTAGGAAGAAGACAATAAAGGGAATTTTTAATTTATTATATGTGGGCATATATATAGAGAGAGAGAGAAAGAGAGAGACAGCATACCTTTTGGATTACTTGCACATGGAAGACTAGCAGTGGGGAAGAAGACAACAAAAAAGGACAAGAAGAAAAAGTAGGGAAAAGGGGGTGGCGGGCTTTTGGGCTAAATTATCGCTAAATTATTTTTTTATTTTAATAAAAATTTTATCAATGACAAAAAATTGTTGCTGCCTCAAAAAATTATTTTTGGGCGACGAACTAATATTGTTGCCGAATAGCGCATTTCCTAAATTAATCATTAATTGAAACATTATTTAATTTGTGACCACTAAGTTCGTCGCCACAAAGTAAAAAAAAATTTTGCAACCACATTCAACGACAAGTATAAATTTTTGTCATCAATTTTTTTTTTAATAATTTTTGGTGACGAACTCTGAGGTTGGTCGTGGAATGTCAGTTTTTGGCGACCGTATTCCTTATTCATCACAGAAAGTCGTTGCAATAAAATATTTTTCTTGTAATGTTATTATGTGAGATTATTAGGTTTCGCTTGTCTTATATGTTTGTTTATAAGTAATTGGTGATATTATGCGACGGTGATGATATAGTGTCATTATTGTGTTGAATATTTACTCATATTTAACAATGTCAAATCTTACTTACTTGGGATCTCAAAATGAATGTTTATTTATTATGTTCCATCAAATGTGGTGTTTGTCATTAAAACACAATTTATCATTTTTTTAGTATCTCATTCAGAACTAATTTTGATTTACTCTTATATCTTGGATTGCCATAAAAATGAATTACATCACTTTTTTTCATTAGCATACTGCTAGTTTCTATTAATTTGTGCAATTCAACTAAATGCATTTACAGTGACGCAGAAAAACAATAGAAATAAGAATCCAAAAATCTAAAAATAATCTGAGTCCTGTGTAGTCATAGTTTCTTAAGACATATTCACTCCCTTTCGGTATTTAAAGTTGATAAGAAATTGTCTCCTAAGATAAAACATATTTCGTTCTTAAAGATATAATACTTCAATCTTCAAGACTCAAACGAACACAACTTTATGTTTTACACTTGAACCGTACATAAATGCAATGCAGAAAGAGAGATATAGGATGTAACAGTATGCAAGGATTACTGTCTGTTTCGTTATTGGAAATAACTGTAAGACAATCTATTTATAGACCTTAAGTGCCTGTATGGATTGTTAGAAAAGACACTGGATGCCACT